CCAAAGTGTTTCCTAGCACTTCAGCTAAGTTTGTGACCATATATAAATATACAGTACATTATCTTAAAGCCTTGTGCAGATCTTCTGCTATTGCAAAACAAACTACTACATATCCTTTTCTTTTTAAAGTAAATGGATTTCTTGATATATAATATGTTTTATTTTTTGCATATTGTATTGCTCTTACTATGAGACTCGTGAAGGTATTGTATATTTTATATAATCATAGAGACTGGCTATTATGATTTTTGAAAATGACATTAACTTCATGATCATCTGGTTCATATTAAGTAAAGATTGTTCTAAAGATATCTGTTTTAATATGTATGAACTATCTATTCTCTAAGTCTTATTGGTTTAAAATGAGTTGTGCCTTGATTCTTCTTTGAGAATGAGAGTGGTTATAAATATAAATACTTAAAACCTTTCCATATTTCTATAAGGTGACCTTAATTTCTTGATAAGTATGACTATGGTCAAGATCAATTAGTGTAGTAACCACTGTTTTATTTTCTTCTTTTGCTACCTCTTGTTTAAAGAACTTCTTTTTGATAGTAAGTATGAAGTTTCCTATTTTTCAACTTGTATAGAAATCAAAATAAAGTTTTCTTCTTTTTTCTTATTGATTTTCTCTATATATTGTAAAGCATTTCGACTTCCTTAAAAGTAAAAGTTGTCCAGGCATTACTATTGAGAAAGTTTTTTTGAATGGTAGCATGTCTTTGGGCAGACTTAGAGTATCTTGGAAATAGGCTAGCATTCTTTTTCTGTATCTTATGATATTTTAGAGGTAAGAATTTCAACCTTGAATTCTTCTCTTTTGATAATATAAAATGGATTTAGGCTAGATGGCTTGGGTCTATTCCATATATTGTAAGAGATTTGTTCTATTATATTTTCTTCTTCAACTCTTTTCTGAATATTTTTTATTTTAAGTTCTTCTTCAAACTTTTTTTTCAATTCTTTGATATCCATTTTAATTTTGATGTTCTTTGGAATTTCAATCTTGATGGTTAGTTGAATTTCCATGTTCTCATTTGGGAAGGTATTCTTATTTGAGGTTGAATTTCCTATTATGGAGTTTGTGAATTCATTCTTAATTTAAAAAGTTTAAGGAATATGTAGGGATAAACTATTTGTAATGATGTCTTGTTTCAAGAAATGTCTGACTTTTTCTTTTAGGAAGGGTACCATAAGATCTTCTTCTTTTTCTTGATCTTGTTTTTATAGATATAGGATATACTGTTTGAGAATCTCAGTTTTAATGAATATAGTTGGATATACATTTAGGATTTTTGCAAAAATACTATCAAATATCAAGTATTTTATTGGTTCTGAAGTCTGATTAACCTTGTTTTGTATAGTAAGAGTATTGAAAATAATTTGAATAGCCTATGTTTATTTCCTCTGATTATGTTTTTTAGCTATTTTGACTATTGTATCAAGAATATAAAGCTCTCTCTTTTTTACAATTTGTATAATTTTCTATTCCTTTATCATATTGATTATATATAAAGGAAGATAGATTATTGAATTATTGATTTGTTTTTTTTTTTTTAGTTGTTTATATTTAGCAAGGTTTACAGGGTTACTTGTTTGTTGTTTTGTTTGAAATATTATTTATTTACAGTAGATAAGTTGTTGATTCTTCCTGTTTTGATCTACTTGTTTACTAAAATGGTTGTTAATCTTCTTTGTTGTGAAAGATATATTATTTGTTTATAGATACTTGGCAAATCTTGCTGTGTTATTTTGATACTAACTTATTTGACATGTACGTATTTACATAACTTGTTTTGTTGTTTAGACAGGTGTGTATGAAATCAGAGTACTCTACTATTTAGTCCTTGAGAGCCTTTGATGTCCTTCTGAACTTTATGAACTTTGAGTTTTTCCTGATTTATCAGTGAAAACTATTGTTAATGAAGTTTCTTCTAATATCTAGAAAGGTATAAACTGACACTGATCTGATTAGAAGCTTGAGATGTTGATATTGAGCTCTTCTAAGCTTATTATGAATCAGCTTGTAAATGTGTTTTCTTTCCTTTATAAAATAAAATAAAGTAGAGCTATAGTAATATTGTGCTATCTATACTTCTCTTGATAAATAGAATGATCTTTTAAAAAAGTAACTGAATATTGTAGTTTGTTGTTAAGTCTCAGATCTTTGAGTGATAAGTTGTTTTAAGATAGCTTCTCTTTTCCAAGAAAATTATCAAAAAAGGAAATTTTTAAGGAAAAAGAGGATTAGTAGAAAGAGTTTTTAGGAATCAATCTTTACAATATATAAACTTTTATAAAACAATTAGTTTATTATTATATATAAGTACTTTAAGTTAAATTTTAAAGATAATATTATATAGATCATCTAAAAAGTTTTTAGACAAATTACAACACAAATTAATCAAATGTAACTTTTCACTTTAGATTAGGTTCAGTATAATATGACTTCTGAATATATATAGGTGGCTTTGTACTTTTTTTATTTTATATGACATAGTAAATTAGTTATAATAATTTGTAAATAAATCAAGTGAAGTATGGTTACTGTTCAAGATATACAAGCAAAAGTTATCTTACACTGGTAAAATAATGGTATATAAAATACTAGAGAAATATAACAAAAAACAGGTCTTTCAAAATTAACAATATATTACAATCTAAAAAAAATAAAAAAATATAGAAGTATGACTTATCTGAAATAAAGCAGTCGGCTGTCAAAAATAAATTCTATGATTTTAAAGTTTCTTGAGCAATAAATAAAAATAAATTCTTCAATATTTATATAATCATTTACTACAAAACTATCAGAAAAGTGTATTAAGATAATGTATGAAACAGTTTATAATTATTTAAAATATCATGGGTATAAAAAAAATTAGACAGAAGTGATACCTATGTTAACTATAAAACAAATAAAAAATCAAGTTAAATAGGTACAAGAATATTTTAAAGATAATTGAAAGCAAACCATTTTTTTAGATGAAACTTGTTTTAAATATTTAGAAATATAATATAACACTGATATAAAATTAATAAATAACAATTATAGTGAATTTTGAAAAATTGATAAAAAATCTTTGCTTGAAAAGCAATTTGGATAGGAGGTAAGATAGAACTTTATTGTTTTCAGCAAATAATAAATAGTCCTTTTTATGTAAAGATTTTAAAAAAATATATTTTGAAGACTAAAAAATATTTGATAGTTATTGACAGTTTCAATAAGATAATGATTCAAAGCATTAGAGCAAAATTATGATGAAGTTTCTTAAGAAAAAGATTGTCAAAACAATTGATTGACCTTTATATAGTTTTGACTTAAATTCTATAGAAAATATATGAAGAATAGTTAAGAACAATATTGAAAAGTAATATCCATAAAATTTGAATAAATTGAATCAATTTATAAAAGAAGAATAGGATTTAATCCCTATTATTTTTATAAAATAATTATATAAAGTTTATGTATAATCATTATAAACTTATTATTGATAGAAATAAAAAACATATTTTTTATTAAATTTTTTTTAATAAATTCGTAACTGTTTAATTTTCTATTAATTATATTTATATATGATTTGATGTAACTATTGTTATATAGTCAGCATATAAAATTGTCAAAAGACTTTTTAAACAATCTATAATTTTAATAAGATATGCAATAGTAATCTGCAGGTAATGAAGTTAGCAATTAAAAAAGTTTTTACCTGAATTACTAATGGAACAATAAATTACTTTCGAAGTTGTACTTAGAGTTTTAATAAATTTCAAAATAGTAACAAGTAAGTTAGATAGAGATTTAACTTTAGCAATACATTTTTAATGTAAAATATATAAAATATTTAATAAAGTACACATATCTAGCCTGACAGAGAGCTTTTAATAAAAAAAATATAATTTTAATAAGATTTAAATTAATTTTTATTTATTAGAATTATCATTAATAGTTTATTATTATTAATTAATCTGAAATCAATAAATTGCTAAGTTAAAAGAAAAAAAAAATAAAGAAAAAAGAGAACAATTCAAGATTTTATTAAAAAAATTCAAAACAAATTTATTTTTTTCTCAAAAGAATTATTTAATTAAAATATTTTTCTTGTTTTATTTAAACCTTAAAAGGAATTTTTTTTGTTATTACTTATAGTTTTTTTTTTTTTATCACCAGCTTAGTCTTTATGTTATTACTTATAGTATTAATAAGTAAATTTAATCAATTTATTATTTAATTAAATACTGAATTGAAATAGCTTAAGAAAAATATAAAAATTTTGGCTTTTATTTATTAATGCTTTATTATTATCTAGAAAACTTAAATAAAAGATAAAAATTTATAATTATCTTTTAATCTTTCAATATTATAAATATTTTTTTAAAAGATTTGAACTTTTATTTCTCAATTATCAATTAAAGTTATTGAAATATGTGAGTATAATCAATAGAAATTTGTTTATATTCTATAAATCAATATATTTTATATTAATCAATTATTTTAACAAGGATTTGAGCTACTCAAAATTTAAGATCAAATTGAAGTAAACAAAATTCTTCAAAAAACTATTAAAGTAAAAGTTTTAAGAGAATCAAGACAATCAAAAAAAAAAAAAATAATTTTTTTACTATAGAAAATCTCTATAATTTTTCAATTCAAAGATTGAAAGATCTTTAGATACTTCAAAATTAATTTTTCTTTTGGAAAATTTCTTGATATTGATATCAAAGATAAGATATTAAAATATATATTCATGCATACTTATATAACATAAATTTCTTCAACTTTTATATTTTGAAAAAGTTTAATGAAAATAATTCATGAACAGCAACTTAACATATACAGTATATACCTAAAGAACACAGAGCATCAAAGAGGGGGAAAGACATCGGCAAAGAAAAGAAATAAAGAAATAAAGAAATATGAATTTATCATAAACTCGAAACTAATATTTTCGTCTCGATTATAAAATATTGCAAAGTAACAAGATAACTTGATAAAGAATACATTAAATTTCATAATCACTAGCGCTGGAATAAACAAAGTAAACGGGATTTCCATATTCTGCTAGTCATCTATTCGTCGTCATCGTCATCGTCATCATCCTCTTCTAACCATTTCGCGAATGGTTTCGCCTTGTTACGGATATCCTGGTTGATAGCCGGGTCAACATAATCGATTGAACCAGTTCTCTTAAAGAGTTCTTGGTATTTCTCGGAAGCACTACCTTCAATCCAGACGGTGAAAACTTCTTCATCAAGAAGATCATTCTGGTAGTACTCCATTAGGATGTGGCAAATGACCTTGCCATCCATTAATTCCTTATTATCTTTAATAACCTCTTCGGTGGCGCCTAAAAGAGCTCTTTGGTCATCCGGATTTGTGATAAACTATATAAAAAGGACAAGAATCAGTGTCTACCGCTTAAACATGTGCGATTGTAGCATATTCGCATACCTTCTTGAACAATTTAGCCCTCTTATGAATTTGCTTGGATATGACCGCACTCTTGTGGAAATTCTCGGCAAAAAGACCAAACAAGAGATGCTTTATAATTTTATCGGCATCCTTAGAAATGCCTAGTTCTTTAATTTTCCTGTAAATATCATTGTTTGAGGAACTGGGGTTCTCTTCCAACCATTCATCCATCTGTTCATAAGGATCGTTCTCTTCAGCGTTGTCGTCGACGTCAGTGATGACTAGAGAGGTACGAACATCTTCCTCCAAAGCTTTGATGCGCTTCTTGACGGCATCGGCAGAAGTGTCAACAGCCCAATCGTCATCATCATCGGCGTTTTGATCAGCAGTGGGGAGCTCGGAAGCATCAGCTTGAATACGACGAGTAATTTCATCTTCCGAACCATCTTCCGAACCACCTTTGGTAGGAGACGGTGGATTCTCGTCTTCAGCGGATTTCTTTCCTTTTTTCTCCTTCTTACCACCTTTGCCCTTGGGAGAGGTAGGAGGGTTCTTCAAAATGTAGGTAACCAACTTGTGACGCATGTCAACATCGGTTCTTTGGCCACAGGCCTTGCAATCACGGATAATTTTTTGAGTACTCGCGCTCTTTCCGGTAATGATCTAAAAAAGGAGGTCATCAGAAATTTGGGTAAATAAAAAACTACGGATTTCAGGACATTAAAAATTGAAATATAATCTATAATTAGTACCAAGTCAGTTTCAGGGTTACTGCACCCAGCACACAAAACAAATTTTTTGATAAAGACGTCGAGCAATTCTTGAAGCTTTGCGGCGTCGTGCGCACCGTTCACAATATAACGATCATTCTTTTCGTCACATTTGACTTGAGCGCCGAGCTCACACCCAAAGAATTTAGTAGGATCTATGATGTGAAGAATAAATGTTATGATGGTGTAAGAAAAACTTAAATTGGCAACCAACAATCAGAAATTACTCACAAGTCGGAGGACGACTCAGGGAACGTGCAATGTCGGTCATATTTGGAACGACGGTCTTGATTCCGTTTCCTTTGCCCTCGATCTGCGGGTTCAGACAATTAGAAAAGTCAGTAAATCCTTTCCTAGGATCAAAAAACAGATTTTGAAGCGACCCGATATCGTGTTCATGAACCAGTAGTTACCTTCGAAATAAGCTTGGGCATTTTATACCGGTAAAACCGATCTTTATTATTTCCTCCAATGTTGATGGTATCCATGATTGCAAATCTTAAATTTTAGAACGCTAATTATACAAAAACAAGGGAGTATGACAGAAATAGTAGTAGTAGCAGTAAAAGTACTCTAATGTATTGTAGCGTCTTCAGTGTTTTAAGTAAGTATCCAACTTATTATTTTTTCGTTTAAGTCATTGATCTCTTACGTTTATGCTTTTGAGAACGCTTTCTGTAAATGTGTTGAAGCTGCTTTTGGTGTTGTCTGTTTTCTGGTGATGGACAAAACATGAAGCGGTTGATTAGCAGTTTCTGCTTGGAGTAAAAGAAAATAAACTAGCGACTAATAAAGTTTTTTTCTTTGGGACTGAAAAAAAAAAAAAAAAACTATCGCTTATATATGAAACGTTATTATTGGATGATCGGATTACAAACTCCCAATCAAATTAATTCGGTTAACCAGTTGCCAGTCACTCATTCATACAATACTGTTTCCGCCGCTTATGGTCAATTAAACGAATGACGATATCCGAAATTCTCTCACTGGGATGGTGAAAAAGTGTGGGGAAAGGAATTTCTTAAGATAATAAATATCATCTGTCCAAATTCAATCTTTTTTTAATATCCTATTTTATCCAGATTATTGTGACTATTGCGATCGGTCCTTCCCCGACAATGCGGAGGCCAGACGAAAGCACATAGAAGGCACACAACATCAGAACAACGTAAAACTTCATTATGATTCCTACAAAGGTAAAAAAAAAATAAATAAAAAAAATGAAATAGTATAACCATCTTTTGCATCAATTATCTTAAATTAAGGACTAAAGAATACTTTAGATCCTGCTGAATTATTGGTGGAGAACAGTAAGAAATCACCGTGTCGCAAGTTTTTCGAGTCAGGGTATTGCCCGTTTGGGTTAAGTTGCAAATACTCGCACGTCCCTTACGGCATCGATTTTTCGATAATTGACCCTCATTGTAGGTCAATCAATCAGGAACTTTCGCTCGTGTCCATTGCTCGTCACGAAATGAACTGAACTTTTTTCTTTTGCTTTAAAGTATATCTGTCTCAAAATCCACACCTTCTCCAGCAGAAGCATCCCCAAGTGTCTACACTCGGAGGACCCCTTCCCAATTCTCATCAAAGGCAATCAACGTTTAAATATAAACTTCCTCCGGGTCTTCCAAAAGAGCTGCCGCCGTCACTAAGGCCGCCTCCACCGGACGGTCACGATTATTCTAATTGCGCTCAATGGGGCTGAATGACCATGTGACGCCGTTCACTCGCTTGTTCATCTCATCTATTGGTATTGTCGTTGTTGTACGATTTCATTTTGCTTCTCCATAAATGATAGTAGTAGCGTCTGTTGTCTGGTGATTAAAAAAAAAATTTTTTTCGTTATTCGTTATCCAATGTAACGTTCGTTATGTCGATCGTGGCGTGAGAATTACGTAATTGACGTGTGATGTAATAGGAAATCGAGACCCGGAAATTTTTTTGTATCCCAATGTCCATCACATGTTGAACATTAAATTCCTTCGTTTCTTCTGCACGCGGACTGTTTCGTGAAATAAAGGGATTACGGAAAAATGCTCTCAACGAAAAAACCTCACCTAGAACTTGAGTACCCGATTGAAATCTTACCATATGAGATAGACTCTTTCTCTTCTTACACTGCTTCTTTTCATCCGAACAACATCTTGGAGGATAAACCCTCCGAGCAGTCTTCTCGTTGGTCAATTAAACAAAGTCATAACCAAGTGCACTACGTATTGATCAAGCTAGAGACAATGGCCATTGTTCGTATCCTTGTGCTCGGTGTTATATTAAATGAATCGTTCCTTCTTCACTTATCCTTAACCACGGTCAATCTTCTGTCCTACAGATAGCATAACATTTGGGAAATATTATAAAGGTGTGCAAATCGGATGTAACCCTTAACGTGAGGCATTGGTAATTAACATTCCTTCGTTTATTCTTCAATATTTCTCACAGAGCACGTAACCAATCTGAAACAATTCAAGGTTTACGGAGGGTTAACACCAAACAACATGATAGAATTACTCCATGGTGGTAAGAAGATAATGAACTATGCCTTTCCTATTCAACCTAAAAACCAAAAAGTGTTCATAGCTTAACTTTAAATCAGATCGAAATAAAATTTGTCCGCAATATCTTTTTAGGATTGCGGAATAATACTCGGCCTGAATCTTTTCGGTTGAAATACCGGATGAATCAGGTGGTATGTTAGGTGCCGCTTACTTGACTTTCTGGTGAATTTTTGATTACAAGTTGGCACCATTTCAACATTCGAATTTTTATTTGCATAGCTGATACCATGTCAATACATCAAGATTGTTCCGATCGTTGCTCATTCTCCAGAATTTAGCTTTAGCATATGGTATGTTGAGTTGAAGGGAATTCGAGATCAAGAATTTGTTCAAAAGGCATACTTTGATTACAACAACGTAAGGACAATCTAGGAGTAGCATGATGTGCTCATTCGTCGCGAAATTCACCAATTCTTCATTCCTCCTTACAGTATCTCGAAGGCGAAGCGATAAGGCTTTGTTTAAAACACTTTCGTCAGCGGAATTATTTAGATGTCTCTGCTGCCCTACAATCAAAGACACATATGCACCTTGAGGATCCATTCATAACGGATCTTTACGCGCAATTGGTCACCAAAGGAGATTTTCAAGCAACCGAGAACATCATGATTGATGCTGCATACAAGGGTTTGTTTAGGGAATACATTCGTAGTTGTCCATATAGTCATTCATGGAAAAAAATTGAGGTCACTGATGCCGGTAGGAGATGACCATTGTAAAATTATGTTCGTTTTAATTTAATTTCTTTTTTTTTTTTTCGTCAGTCAGTAATTATTCATTATAAAAATCTCAAGATGGAAATTCTCCGTGCATGAGGGGCGGTCATCAAATGTGTATCGATGTCGAGGCAAGATTACATATAATTTAATGTTAAAACGATCCTTCCTTTCAATATGCCTTCAGACTAAGGTCGGTTTCTTTCCAAAGGCCGGACACATTTATTTACTCGGTGGCTGGGATGGAAGTAGGGATTTATCCGATTTTTGGGTTTACGACGTAAATGGCAATAATTGGACGCTCATCAGCACCGACACGAGAGAGTACGTTCTTTTTTATGTTATTGGTTCGTTTTGCATTCTTTCTCGCCAATTCTAAAACTTGTGACATGCGGTTACACAGGCAGGGAGGACCCAGTCCACGTTCGAATCATAAAATATGCCTGGACCCCAGCACGAAATGGTTATATGTTTTAGGACGTTTCATTGATCGTGATGTGCGAGCAAATGCAAATTTCAACTCTGATTTCTACCGCTATGATATAAGAAATAATGAATGGGAGGTGATTTGCGAAAATACGGCAGTAAGATATTCATCTTTCTCATTTTTTTATATATACAGATATATGCATATTTATTTATATTTATATTTAATATTTTAAACCTTTAGTCCGTCGGAGGGCCCCAGTTGGTTTATGACCATCAAATGTGCATTGACCCGGAAACTCAAGTTTTGTATGTCTTCGGTGGTCGAACGGTGCCTCAGGAATCGGAAAATTTTAGCTATAGCGGATTGTATGCCTTTTCCATACGGACAAAGGAATGGAGATTCATAAAGTAAGAAAGAACTCGATATCACTATCACTTTTCATATTTATATTTCTCGCCACTCATCTCGAATAATGTTACATATGCTTTAGATCCAACAATAAATCATCCGACGACTTACTTCAGCTTAAATCACGAATCGGGCATTCCATGTTATTTGACCATCACGAGAAATTATTGTACATCATAGGAGGGGAACGAGATAATTTATTCCTGAGGTTTGTGCATGGGAAATAAATTCTTTTCTTTGTTAACCTCATACTCTTAATAATAACAATGGTTTTCGCTTAACCTAACGACAAACAGTGATTTCTTCATATACGACATTCGCGCAGACACGATTCATGAGTTGACAGCTGATTACGCGACGCTGGAAAATCAGGATGTCATGTTCACCCAACGAACCACTTTTGACGTTGATACGCAAGAATTCTTTGTTCTCTCAGGCCTGAAAAATAAGGATAAAAAAGACAAAAGGTCTCAAATTGTCAAAAATTCATTTTGGATTTACGATCTACATAAGTGTAAGTGGACTAGGATATACCAGAGCGATTCGTTTGATATGAAACATTGGGAGGGTACAGAGATGTCCGAGCCTCATCCTAGGCACGCGCATCAAATGGTTTATGATAGTGTGCATAAGGTTCAGTATGTATTTGGCGGAAGAACAGTCGAAACGGATGTCGCTAGAAAGCAGCGTTTGGACGACTTTTGGGCGTTGTACCTGATAAAGTAATTAAAGGTTTTTTTTTCGCATGGGAGAAACTTGAATACGTGAACTCATCCAGTCAACCATTCCCAACAGACCCGAGCCCGATGAGATATTGAGACGTATTAAATTTCAGATCAGAAGACAAAGGTGGTTATTTGTTCGGCGGTTTATTTCTCCGGGGGAGGGGGGCTAATTTAATAATTCGCTTTCATTACTTAAATAATCGCGTCTCGTTCAACAGATTTCAGGAAATGTGTTTGGAAGGTGACTCTATAAAGGCACTCAAATATCTTCAAAATCAACTCAGCCAGGTGGTAGACCATACCAGTGAGGCAGAAAGTGAGGAATTTCGTGGGTTAACATCAAACTTATTTTATAATATAAAAGGTGAGTGGGTCCTCGTTCGTGTTGACATGCAAAGGTCGGATTTTTGACTTTGTCACTTTCCCAAAACATTGCAGACAATGTGGACTTGTTTGAGGTGAGAACAGAGCTTTTCGAGAAACTATTGGAATTCTTCCCGGAAGAAATGAAGCAACCAAAAGGAAATTTAATAGACCTAGTGAGAATAGCCTGCTCGTAAGTTAATTGGTCGGAAATCTATTATTATTCGGTGCAGCATGATGGCAAATATCTTTTATTCCCCTTTCCCTTGTAAATACGCATAATTTCTTGTAAATTCGGTGTAAAAAGTATTTGTATTTTTAGTAAAGTAGCTGTCCGATGCGAATGAGGAATAAATTATCACGTGATTAAAGCGGCAAAGTATTGATTTCATGATCTACGAGTGGTCCTGATGCTTTAAACAAAACGCACATGCGTAAAAGAAATGACAGTAATTTTAAGGAATTTACGAAAGCTCGTAAAAATCTCCAAGAAGGCAACCAAGAGGGATGTCGAACAATTGTTGAATTTGTCGAACTACTCAGGTTGGAGTTTGGGAATTCATTATACCGGAAACCGGAGAATTAGGAGGCTCAATAGGGAACGTAGAAATATCGACAAGCCCACCGATATCTTGTCATTTCCTCTTCACAAGGTATGACTTTCATAATTTGAACTAGACAAGGTTGGATGAATCGATTACTTCAACTTTTTAGACTCCAAAATCAGGCTGCATCCCCAGGAGTCCTGCCACCACCGTTAACCGAAGAACACAAATATCTTGGCGATCTAATAATCTCGATTCCATACGTACAAGACTGGTGCAAAGAAAACAATGAAAATCTTGGTTCCCGATTAACGGTCCTGTACATACACGGGATTTGTCATTTGATTGGCTACGATCACGAAACCGATGAGCAATTTGAACAGGTAGCCGTTCGAAGATTGACTACCAAATAACTTTCTGACAGCTAAACGTCCTGAAATGATAATTAGATGAATTCCCGAGAACAAGAAATACTAAAGCAATTCTTGGAATGGAAGGAAAAGAATTTGTATAAATCACGTAGCACTCCGAAAACGCCCCCCTAATTCAAAGATACTCGTATTTATATTTTATTAAACGCTACACTTGATATTACAGAAAAAAATAATAAATAAATAAACACGCTGCATATTTTATTATGCAGTGAGATAAACAGTTAAACGGTTGGTCGATCATGCCTTATGGTCTTCGAATCATTTATTAGCACTAGAAACATCGTTTTTTTCAAACAGATACTAGGAATAACTGTTGATTATATGTTCACAATAATGACCCTCAGGATAAGCCCGTGTCATCAGAGCACCAATGTTCCTCGTAAAATTATATATACAATAATTGATTTTGATGTGGCGTGACTTATGGTTCACGTGCAAAGACAAATTTGAAATTGTAACGAACAGGCATATAGAACATTCGCAAAAAGGTCCCGCGAAAAAAGAAAATGCAAATACACAGCGTGTCGTTTTATGCAATTGCACCTGCGAAGGTGATGATGTCGAACATCATCCCGACAAAGATTCGATCTATAAGACCATATGATAGAGAACAAGGTTTGATTCTAAACCTATGATTTCGTTATCGTGATACACATTATTAGATCATTTCGACTTACCAGCCATTGGATATCACAAATGATACATCATGGAGTCGTCAAATGTGTTGGTCTGAAAGATCGCTTTTTTTGATGTACCGCGAACTGCACCTTTCCTCGTGTTCGTCTTTACTGCGATAATGAATAGAGACTATGTTCTCGATGACTTTGCAATCTATCATCTGGTTTTGGAGTTTTTTTACCAGGCTTCCTCTCATCATTAAAGCAACCCATCGGTTCTGTGCTTCCAGGAACTCATTGATAAATGATAGACTGAACGAGAACGGTTCGTCGTTCTTTCTTAATGCCGGGGCTACGTAAGCCTTACTATCACCATTACCATTTCGGTGAGTCGTCAGTCGTTTCGTGCCCAATTGACGATCTCCATCCGATTTTTCAGCAACTAATAAATTATATTCCGCTGCTTCTTCACTGAAAGCACATTTAATCTCCTTGGCAATCGGGGAGGATTTATATAGAATCAATTCGGTGAAGGAGTATACTCTCCTTTTTGATCTGATCTTTGACCTGAAATTCTCTTTCAGGGGTTCCGCCCGGATCTCGTTGCTTTTGGTTTTGCGAAGGTCATCGCCTCTGTTCTTTCGTTTGTTTTGAGGGATGAGGACGCCATCAGGCTCGGAGGAACCTTGTGGTGATGATACGGGTGATGCATGCGCGCCAAAATTTGGATCGCACAACAAAGTATCGATCAGGCTCAATGGTTGATTCGATGTCTCTGTAACAACACCGCCATTGTTGTTATTAACGACGTCGTCGTCAAATACTATCAGGTCCATCTCGTGGGTACCGTCACCACCGTCTAATGCGTTTTGATTGTTGGCCGACGGTACAGCAGGCTGAGTAGGTTCTTTACACCAAAAATTTTAGCATCACAATTGTCAATCGATCGTGCAAGGACAAAACAAAATGCGCCAACAAACCTATAATGATTTTTTTTGATTCAGTGACTTTGTACAAGTAAGCCTTACTAAGCTTGATATAAATTGTATCGGGATATCGTTTTTTACTATCGTTGGTCGTCATCTTTTTTGAAGCCATATGTCGGACATTAAGATCTATGTTAAAACCTGTTATTACTGGGAAGGACTTTTTAAACTCTACATATGTGAGAACCCTCGGTTGCGGGAATTCTGGAAAGCTTGCCCACAAGAAAGTATGTTTACGTGACTAGCTATATAACAACGTGACATATTACATAAACAATGTTACGTGCGCATTTTAGTATTAGATAGAAGTTACATTTGACGCAACAACCTAAGCCGTCAGCAAATAAGTATTTACAATTAGAAGCGGGCTTTTATTTCACGTTAGAGCTTGTGAATCTTTTAACCATTTGATTCTACAGCAAATAAATACGACTTATCCATCTACGTAATCATGTGACGAAATGTAACACGTGAGTGTAGGATGTTGAACTAATATCTCAGGTAATCACATCCGATACACATGACGACATCTGCTTCGTTTCTAAATGCACACATAGGACAGCTCCATCGCGAACTCGCGGAATCGTCAATGACTATCGGCTGAGAAGAAGTACCCGGTGTGTCCGATGGTCTGAACGAACACATTTCACACTGTAAAACTGACGGACGATTGTCAAACGTGCATCTGGGACAACTCCACTGACGAACGCCCGGCAACTTATTGTCCGGAATTCGAACCGGACGTTGAGGCTTTTGACTCGGCTGTGACGATGATCTTGAAGGGCCCGCGTGGTTAGCCCCATTCCTTTCCTCACTACCACACCAAACCATGTCGCTTATCCTTCTTTCAGCAGCCATTGCAGCTAATTCTCGCATGGGCACATAATTCACTAATCCATCTCCACCTAGTCTAACTCCACCATTTGTCATTATTCTTTGCATCCTTTTCCTCCTTTCCGCCGCCTCCAGCGCTCTCTGTTTAGCCATTTCTGGCGTGACATTATGTGTTACTCCACTACCAAGTCTGATACCGTTTGTATAAAACCCATCCCCTGCATGACCTCCTAACAACAATTCATCGTATTCATTATTTAATTGATCCAAGAGTTTATAAAAGTCTGCATCGTGTGGACCACATTGGTTGTGAGTCAATCTGCCAGAACCAATTTAAAAATTAGCAGAATAGGCCAGAAAATATTATTTAATTAAAATTCAAAGATTCCAAAACAATGTGTACTCATGTAACATGGTTCCTATGAGATCATCAAAATCGAAGAATTTCCTTTCGTCATAATGCGGACGCAACCGAACACGTATTATCTCACCATGGTTTATATTTAACCCTAAAGTATATCATTCAAAATTAGGTCATGTACAGTAGTTACCAAATCGAATCGTAGACCCCGCGTACCAAGTAAGTTTTTATCTGATGGCCAGAATTCCTCTAAAAGCCCAACTTTCCAATTACGCTTTTTCATTATGGGCTTAACCTGAAACGTGTTATTATTATCCGCGAACTTGTGAGAAACAAAAATCAAAGAGAAATGCGAAGTGCAATATAAGGAGTAGTTACATGAGAAGCTAATTTCTTCAACAAGTTCAAGGCTTCTTCATGATTAGGAAATTGAGTGAGTGACTTGAAGTTGAAAATACGTTCGTCTATTTGAATTGTGTTCATCGTTTTTCAAGGAGAATTTAGTAAAAACGCTTACCAATTCGCAACTCTATTACGTATACTTAAATTGTTCACCCGATTTGGGTACCTACGGGTGATCGCGGGGTATCGCCAAAAATTTATCCCGCAATACCAAAAGAAGGAATTATTTCTCGAGATTTTGTATTTCACATGACAGCTAACTTGTCATTGTATATTATTAGTTGAAGGATTAAAAAATATGAAGAATTCGTTAAGCTAGTTTGGATTAAACATAACAAAGTTTAAACTAGATACTCTAAAACAGATTTAGGAACAATATTTTCTTTCTTGATAAATTGGTATTAGATTTATTATTGTTAACAGTTTATTATTATAGATCTGTCCAAAAAATAATGAATTATTGAAAAAAATTCTTGTTCAAGTTGACAACTTTCTTTCAAAAAAAAAATTCATTTGATTGGTATATTCTTTAGCTTTATATTTTATATTAACACTATACTAAAAAAAAATTTTTTTTAACAATTAACTTAAGATAAGAACTTGAAGATGATATTTTTTTTTCAAAAAAATTTCTTTTATTACTTAATAAAAAATAAAATTTAATATTGTTATATAATTCTTTAATTATCTTTTAATATCATAATTATTTTTTAAAAGATTGTTTAATTGAAAAATACTTTTCTTTTTTATTACTTTTTTTTTTTTTTTATTGCTAATTGTATTATTGAACATATAATTATAATCAATAAAATTTTGTTTATATTTTAGAAATCAATATGTTTTATATTATGATTTTATTAAAACCTTTTAATATTTTAAGCTAATAGTATCATATACTTGGCTATATCTTAAAAAATTATTTGCAATTTCATTTTATTTTCTCTGATATTTCTATAGATATTGTTAAAAATCTTAATCAATTTTACTATATTTTTTTTCAATAGTCCTATATAGTTAAAATTTTTAAAAATATTATTGATTTTATAAATATTTTTTAGAATTTTTAGCAAAATAATAGATCTTATATTCGAAAGTTTATAATTTCATAATTTTAGTTTGATTATAAGATATATATAGTTTTATTTCTAGCAAATAAGAGTTATTTTTTATTTTAGAAAATTATTGGATATTTTTTTAAAAAATTATTATCTTCTTTATTTAATTTTTTTAATATTTTGTAACTAATTCACAATTCTTCTAAACTTTGTTATCTAAAATTATTATTATTATTATTATTATTATTATTATTTTTTTTTTTTTTTTTTTTTTTTTTTTTAACTCACAATCATGCCACAATGGCGTATCTTTATTGAAAAATTAAAAATGAATTTACAATATTTTACAGACTTTCACAAAGTGACTAACTCGTCTTCATACAAAAGTACTCTAAGTCAGAT